GGCGCGGGGCGGCAGCCCCTTGGCCGGATCGCTGGGTGCACCAGACTCCAACTCCCATGCCACGCCAGGCCGCCTGCCTGGGGATGATGGGAGGAATGGTTCTCCACCTGGTCGGGAAAGGCCACCTCCGTTCCTCAGAAAGGAGGGGGGGGAGGGCTGGCTGGGCTTGGACGGGGGGTGGGCGAAGGCAAAGACCTCTGCACGTGCTTAGAGGCTACCGGAGGGGGAAATCCCTGCGAATTCTCAGAGAAAGCCCGAGGCTTGTAAAGGAGAGGTCCGGGAGCTGAACCCTGGAACTGGTTTAGGAATCGAATTAAGCTTGGCTTTTGGGGAGGGGAGAAATAGGAAGGGGGAGGGTGACAAGGGAAAGCGAAAGCCCAGCAGGGTGTCACGACGGACAATCTTTCTGCCCATCCCTGGTCTTGAGATCAGACCAGGGGCGCCTGGTTGCGTTTGTCTGCACGGAGATCCTAAGAGCCGAAGGGCCGTGCGCGGCTCGCAAAGCTGTCCGCTGCCTGAGGAATTTTTTCTGAAATTGAGAAATTGTCATTTAAGATCTTAGGTAGGTAGGTAGGTACGTAGGGAGAGGGAGAGGGAGAGAGAGAGAGAGAGAGATTTTTATACATTACAGAACATCAGTTTTCATGGCTGCTATTTATTGGTGAAATGATAATGCTGAAACATCAGGACAGACTCGTTATGGGAACACTGGCCAGACTCTCTCTAGGGCTCCAAAGACCTCTCCTCCGTCTTCCCCAGGAGATTTTACTGGCAGGTCTCCTGCCCCCCACCCCTCAAATATATCATGGGGCCTGGGGGTCTTTGGAAACCGCAGACATTCTTAGATGGCTCCACTACGATTAATATTCTCTCTCTCCATGGGGTTTGTGTATTTTAAAATTTAAAAAGTTTAAACTTTTTGATGATGTTGTATTTTAATAATCACTTTATCTCTTATCATGATTGTTTTTTATGTATTTGTTGTTTTATTTAATTGTTGTACGCTGCCCAGAGTTGCTTTGTATGAGATGGGCTGCTATATAAATGTGACATATAAATAAATAAATAAATAAAGC